CTTTGGTGGTCGACACACATTCAGAACTGTATGGGAAAACTTCGGTGCCTCTCCTTTCAGTTCCGAAAGCTCAGACAATGTCGCACTCCCCAACGAGTTTTGTTCTCTTTTGTTAAACAATGCGTTCTCCCTATTTTACTTTACTGCTCCCCTGTAGTATTTCTCGGTCTATTGAAACAAGACTTTAAAACTGTCCGTCGTGGATTAATGATAAAAAGCCGTGCATCTTTAATGTCTGCCGAGTCATTAATCATAGAACTTAATAATGGTCATATGAATTCTTGTATGACCTTTGCCATTAAGATTCTAAACGACCCCACCCATCCTGTGCATTTTGACTTATCTTCTTGTCACTCCCACTCGATCACTTTTTCCCCTTATAGGTACCTACCCTCCCGAATAAACATTTGTAAAAGCTCCACTGTGCTGTATCTGGCTCGCATCTTGACCAACAAGGAGCGAGTTATAAATGAATTACGTCAATCTTTAATTGAATGAATCAAACTTTAGAGACATTAATTTTTTTACACAGCACTATTGAATTTATTTGTACTTCTATATTTTCTCCGGCGTGACGACCAGTGTACAATTTTTAACTGAAATGTAAGCATATCTCAGCTTGCAAAAGTTATACAAATACAATTCTCTCTAATTCTCTCATCTATTGTAGTCGATCGAGTGATATCAATCATAAACGGTAGTCTACTTGCAAGTCCAGTGCCAGATGTACAACAGTGTGTATTTTCGCGGCTAAAATTACGAACCAATAAAACAAATACCTGACTTGAATTGGACTACGTGTGTATCTATTGTCTCGGCTTTGTTCAACCGGTGGTCGATATGTGAACATCATGTAAATAATTTTCAGACTCTACACGTAAAAAGTTCGCTGTGTTCAATTTCATTAATCAATGGAATCACACCGCCTCGAACAACTGAGTGACTCAGTGTTCCATTTCACTTAGATGCTTAAATGAATTCCGCGCACACACACCCTCAGTAAGCTTTATTGCGTTTAGCCAGAATTTACAATGAATTAGACTGCTCACTTATCATAAACAAACTGATATCGGAATTTCGTCAGCCGGTTTCTTAAGCGAAGTTAGTTAGCATGGAGAAAAAACTGTGTGACTTCGATTTCATTTCATGAACTACACACACACACCCTTCAGGGTTATTCATTCATGATCCGACACCTCATTGCCGAATTCCCATTCATGCTTTTATAATACAGGGCGTTCTCCAATCGGATGACGGTCCCGCGAGTGACACGGAGGTGGACGGATTTGTGGAACCGCTTATGGCGCATATGCCCGAATCCGTCGAAGATGCAGACCTATGGCCACAGGTCGAGCTTGCGCCTCGTGGTGATCTATTCCAGATTGGTCATGCTCATGGCCCCGGACAAAATCGAGATTATGAACTGGTAATCAGAATTTCCGGAATTGTTGGTCTGCTGGAAGTAAGTCCGTGGAACAGTTAATGTACCGACCATTTCTAATTAATTTCTAACTTCGATGGAAGTCTGTTTGAATTAAATTAGTTTCGTCAAACATTCATACTGCATTCAGCTCACGGTGGCGTTTTGGAATAAATGCTATCGATTTGAGTGACCGATCTTCATTCTTCTCTTTTATCCAAATGGGCGACCAAAAGACAGCAGGCAAAACCGGCACACGAGAGTGCATGGTTAATGATTGTAAAACTGAAACTGACCACTCTTCTCACATCGTCTGCACATACATACACACACATATACACACAACCCTCAATTCATCCAGTCAACAATACATCCATGAGGCAGTAGACTCGAGTTTCGTTCCAGTTAAAGCTCATCTGCATATCCACCAACCCGATTGGGACTAGAACTTCTATTCCTTCATATGGAGAATGCATGCCACGACTGTGCCAGCCGCCTCATAACGGATCTGACTAGAATAGTCCATTCAAATTCAGTCAGTGACTATCGTTGATAGTCCGACGAACATGTCATTATTTTATCAAAAACACGCTTATAATGATCTTTGGCAGATGTTTCCGTTGTGCCAGGAACTTTATGCCAACAATTATCGTCTGAGTTACACCTAGGATGTATGATTATTCCTTTTAAGTGCAACTGCCATGTGAAATGAAAATATATGGATTGCTTTGTTTTCTCATCACAAATAAAACTTAATTGATTTTTTGAACCATAAAATTTCAAATTTCTGTAGAGCAGAATATCAAGCTTGGATTAGTCCATTCAATTGTTCAGAGGCACCAGGCACTCCTGATGATCTTCGGTGTGGGTTTCTCCCTTTGGGAGATCGTTAATTTCCCACTGTTTGTATGCATTCAAATGCGATGGAAATGTTTGTACAGCAATTTAAGATTCACATCCATAGAACATGTGCATCATCATTATTATGGAATGTATATCTGACATCTGCACTTTTTCTAGAGTCATCTGGAACCGTTAATTTTGAGTTTATATCTCTGTTGACGTTGTTCTGCAAATCAATATGTATTTCGCTCTCTACCTACCCCGAAACAGTTCCTTCCCAGATGCATACTGACGGTGAAAGAGGAGACTCAACTGACCTTGGTGCTGGGCTACGAGATTTTCGGACATCGGATACTATCCGATCTGTTTGAACCAAATGCCACGGTTCTGGAGGATCAGACGGAAATTCGAATCCGTTCACGACTGGGGCCGCTGAGGAATTATTTTACTCGAGTAAGTGAACCATATTCTCTAGCCTATACCTCCGCTTCGATCCTTTCCCTGTTGCTTGTGATAGACTACTGGAGGAGCGTAATCGTCGTGGATGATGTCCCGCAGAAGTATAATATCATCTTGGGCCATCTTTATCGAGGTTATATATGAGTCAAATGTGATCGCGTTTCCGGTACCAAACAGGACGACCAAAAATGTCGCTTATTGTACAGAGGAGTTCCTCCGAGTTGACGATAAAACGTTCTGCCACGCTTCGCATAGAGACACGATGAAAATGAGGGCCTCGTGCTGCCCCCAGACGGTGAATGCGAAAGAGAGAACACAACTGGCGTAGCAATAATCACAGTTTATTAGGTGACTGTAGTGTGACGCGCGTAGACAAATTGTAAATCAAACATACAACGGGAACACAATGACGCACAAATTCGATTAAGTCATTGGCTCGCCAATTCGTTGTCCGATTCGTGCCACAGTCGTTTCANGTGTGACGAGTATGCTGGTGCCTTAGCTTGGTCTTGTGTGCGGCCTGGCGGGTTCTGTGCGTTCCGGCGTAACACACCCAAAGCATAACGAATGTTTTATGTGGTGTTTCACCTGAGGAATGAAGTAAAATAATGATAACAAACAAAGCTTGTTTTCGATAACGCCTTCTTCGGACTAATACAGTTATATATATATATATATTACGCTTTGAAATTGTCAAAGTCGTGTAATGGTCTGATGTGATGAACAAGATTATTTCATTACGATTATGTGATAAATGGTTTGGAAATGAAGTGACAGAGTGTAGTGGTAGAGCACTTTGTAGACAGGGCCCATTAAGCAAAGGGGAACGCATCCAAGGTGATCTACAGAGTAGCACCAAGTCCATCGAAAGATCTTTGTCAGTGGCATCTTGCTACATCCCTGGCCATGGCCATTCGTTTACACGCTCCATCTCTTCTTTCTGAAAGGCGATTCGTTCAGTCACTTCGTTTATCTTTGCCTCGATCTAGCATAACTGATCGAAACGAACATGACCTTTGGCATGACCCACGGATACAGAATAAAAAGGTAAACGGTGACGCAATCCATCCATCCATTTCAAAACAAAACAACAACAAACGCTGTCCCTTCATTTCCAAACCACATATCAACTAATCAACCAATCCCATTTATCACATCAGACCAACACACTAATTGGATAATTTTGAAATATATCACTGTATTAGTCTCATGAAAAAGTTACCGAAAACAAGCCTTTTTTCGCTACAATGTTTTCTTAATGTCACGGTCAGAATATTTAATAAAAGAATGGTCTCAGATCAACGATAGAATCGATCCGATGTCAAACAGCATGTGTAACCTCTTCTAATCAATTTGTTCTCGATATCAGTCAATCAGTCAATAGAAATTACTTACAGAATATGACGAGTAAGGCAAATAATTGTCTTGCATGACACCAGTCCGATGCGAGCCATTCCTCGAAAATATAGACCTACGGACAAAGAGTTTTTGCAGCATAATCTGGGAAATCCCAACGGACTAAACTATCATATCCTATCTGCACTGAGGTATGTGAACATCAGAAATCAGAAATTGATGAGTACTTCCTGTGGGCTCTATTCACACCGCTTAGTAATCAATAAGAAATAACCACATCGTGAGGCGATATGTAAAACGGTAAATATTTAAACGAATTTTCTTCGACTTCTATGTGCAATGGATTAGAAATAACTATCTGAATTTGGGATTTGCAAAACATCTCCCATTGTTCTTCTATAATCGAATAGTGAAGGTCACTGATAAACATACTTGAGCGAACGAGCTTATTTTCAGTGAATCATCAACTGCTTCTTATTTCACATTTTATGCGACATTAATTTGTATAGAAAAGGGAATATAAACATGATTAGTCGATGGATGGGAGAACAGACTGATTACTGTTGAACCGAATTTGTTTGATCTTTCGATCAAGTCTTTTGCTCAAACCGTGTTATTTATTCGACGTGGTAAATTACTAGGTTATGCAAACAATTGGTGGAGATGGTTGATCGAAAACTAAGAACGACGGTGGGGGACACATTTCTCGCGGCAAATCTGTCTACCGTATTGACATCCCAACTGATCCCGCGGTCGCAACTGCGTAACAAAGTACTTGCTTCTGCACCCTATGTTTTGTGTACTTATTGGAGTATTTCTGTGGTGCGCCGTTCATTTGCCGCTTGAGCAGGCGCCCTTCAACAGTTTGGTAATACCAACCAACCTAGCCTAACACTGAGCGCATGAAAAGCATTGTAAGTCCCATTGTTTCAAACCTCACCAAAACTAAATTTAGCATTTCCTCTGTGTTCACGGTTGCCGGTCTGAGCCGGTTAAAAATAACAGCCTAACCACCGAAAAAACGTTATTCGCCAACCTGTGTCATTACAATGTGCTTCGACTTTATTTTGAGAATTAAAATTATTTCTCTTCCAGATATCAGCATTTATATATGCAATTAGATTTTGATCACCCTCCGCATGTAATAAATTCGCCTTGCTGATAACACGCCGCGGACGATATGAAATTTTGGAGATACATCGACGAAATTTGTCGGAGTCTGGGGGTTTCTGGCAAAATTGAAGAGAATATTGATGAATCCACAACATTTGACCGCTCGAATTGGGTAAAACATCACGTGTACCAATTCAGTTAATGCGCTATTTGCCAACCTAAAATATTACCTCTATTGTGATACCATCTATCACAAGTCACACAACTCGCGAACAGTTGCAGTCAAAGCAGAATAACTTAACATAATTGCCTTCAACTGTTTTTAATCCCTATTGAATTTATTTTGTCCATTGCCCATTACCCTTTGTGTATTTTGTCCCTGTTTAAATCCAAAAGTATAAGAAACTGAGAGTTTAAGTTCAATTCAACAACATTCTTTGACTATTTGCGTGCAAACTTTCTGAATTCTTCTTAATTTCGTCGGTGAGTTATTTGTGCCACGATTGCGTAATCAGACAACACGAATAAACATTGACAGTGATTTTGAACACAGAGAATAACAGGAAGGGAACATCTTTTGTGAATCTTCCTAGCCGTAAAATGTTACCTTGTCGTTCCAAATTTCTTCTGCGAGTGGTTGTGGCTTGATGAAAATCTTCTCCAAACAACTACAGGTGTTCATCAAATCAAGAGAGGGGAACGGTAACCGATTGAAGCGGTCATAGCATACAGGATATTGATCAGACTCGCACAACAACCTGACTTTCATCAGATTCGTTCCACCCAATACCTTCTGTTTTGGGCCTCAGTTACGTGATCGAATATGATCTTGATCCACATATGTACTAACATCCACCTATGTTTGTGCTCATATTAGTCAAATGCCATTAAAATGTACGATTTCTCAATTTAGGCGACGGTTGCTGGTGCGCAGATTGAAACAGTGATACGAAAACGCTAAGAATATCGCAGTGGGTGATAAAGTTCGGAATAAGTGCTCGTCACCCATAGTTACTCGTATACAAGCGTGATACCAATAACTGAAATAAAAACGTTTCCGAATACGCAGTACACGTACGAGGTGCTGATGATCAGAAAAAGAAAACGGGAACCGCAATCTATTATTAATATTGTTCAGTTGATTGTAATTCATAGAACCAAATAGCAACAGTCGAACACAGCTCACAAGTCATACAAGGGTCCGTATACTCAAACTATAAGGGTGGAAATCAGTCAATGTCACTGGAGGGCGATAATTTTCTACGATTACAAATGTAGTTTAAAACAGGAGAAGCAGAGCGCTGATCGTTTGCGAGCTGCCTTTGGTGGTGACGCGCCTTCAAGAAGCATTGTATTCGAGTGATTTTCGGATTTTAAGCGCGACCGGGAGCCCTGGATGATGAGACACGGTGTAGTACAGTTGTGGAGGTCACCGCAGCGGATAACATTGCTGCTGTGCAAGCGATGGTGGAACAGGATGCGCGAGTGACAGTGGCACAGCTGGTGAAAGCCACGAGAATCTCAGCGAGATCAAGTCCACATCATCCTACATGAGAAGCTAGGCCTCAGAAAGGTTTGAGTCTGCTGAATACTTCATCAGTTCATTGAGGAACAGAAAGCAGTTAGGGTGAAATGGTGGGCATCATGCCTGCTCGGTTTGATGATGGACGTTCCAGTGCAATATGGGAGATTATCAGTGATGAGGCCTGGGTGTACAGTTTTGACCCAGAGATCGGCTCAAACGGGGCCGATTGGTGATGCACTGCCTTAGAAACTCCGACACGAGCGCAGTGTGGCAAAACCGATGGTGTCTGTGTTCATGGCCAAAAACGGCAATGTGGTTACAGTACTACTCATACAGCAAGGCACAGTCACCGGAGACTGGTACGCTACTCACCGTCTACCGAAAGTTCTGGAAGCTGTTGCCAAGCGTCGTCCAATGACTCGAGTACAAGGGTTTTGCTGCACTATGACAACGCACCTGCACACATGCCCCATAGCGTCGGCGATTTTCTGGCTATAGAACACATATATAGTAGGTCGGCTACCCACTTTTACGGTCCAGACTTGACTCCGTGTGACTTTTTCGTGTTCCCAAATGTCAAGGACATGATGCGTGTAATCCGATACGAGTCGCCAACAGCTGCAATTAAGGCTTTCATTGAACTGATGGAAGGGTTACCCGCGTCGGCATGGTTGAGCTGTTTCACCAAATGGATTGAGCACATGAAACTGTGCATGAACGCTGGATAAGAATACTTCGAGAAAATAGAATGCTTATTTTTGTGTAACAAATAAAACGTTTTGTGCAACCGGAAACGTTTTGCTCACCCATTGTATGTTTTTAACCATTTACGCACATTTGACTACTTTCGTTTGATCGTGGAAACAGTTCCCACCCACCCACACCAATTCCACCTCCTCCATTTCACTTCTTTAGTTAGATAATGAATTCCAACTTTCGTTCTTGATAATCATCAGTATTATTTAATCGGCTTATTAACTTCCTGTTGTCGCATGTCCACGTGTTCTAACTTTCCCTCTCGGCCTTGTACCTACCGAAACACGTCATCCTCACCCATTTGCTAACTATTTCTACCCATCTGTATTCGGATCAAGAGAAAAAAGTGTTGGTAAACTAGTTACGCTGTCTTTTGAACAAGTTGCATGAATCTAGGCTTTTAATCTGCCACAATACCCCAGAAACATAAATCATATCCATTTGTAATTCGCATGAAGTAACTAATGATATGCGAAAGAAATGTAGCTGCAGCAGAAAGCTTACCTGATACTACTGGCCTTTTTCAAATTTATTTGAGGAAATCATTACCTTCAATGTCCTAGTAGTGTTGACAATTATCAATCTGTATCTTTTTCAGAATTTTCTGATAGCTTTAGATAGGAACTGGAACCACCTAATCGAGTAGTGTATTAAACAGAAGCTGCATGAGTGTACACTGCTTTCAGAGGTTCAGCTTGATCCAGCGATTTTATATGGTGATTGGTATCGAAGAGCAGTTATAGCAAAGGTAAGGATGAGAACAGTTTGAATTATCCACACTTCCTCTATTTTCCAGGTCCGTCCGGAATTACGGGTATCTATGCACGCAGTGGTGGAAACTCCAGCGAATCAAGAAACAACGGGTAATTCCGATTTGAACATTGGCCCGGCTATTGCGAGCACCAGCATCTCTCTGAAATCATTGGTCATTGTCCGCGCGACAGACGATCAGGAGGAGCCTAACATCCCCGAACAGCACAGCCAATTACGATTGAATTCCCGAAGTTTGCAATCCCCACGGCATTGGACAACACAATCTCATGGAGGTATGTTTCATAATACTATGCTCCGTGACCGTGGTGATCACCACATCTCCTGTACTTTCAGAGTGTACATTGGGGGACGAAAGTTTGTATGATACAGAAGACCTGGTTCCTTGTGACCTGATTACGACCATATACTTGGTGGAAAAGAACTTGGATGAAGTTCGAGGGAGAAGTCGTAAGTCTGTTTGACTTTGAACAATACTTGACCAATCTCTCTGAATAACCAGCAATTGAATGTATATATTTTTTCAGTTTCTAGACAGGGAAATATATTAGTATTTTATATATGGGTTAGTAATTTGCATAAAACGCATATTTCACTTTTTCCTCCATGAACAACACTGCTCCCTTCGAAGTTGATTTTGGCTATCAGAAAAGGCCATCCTTTCTATACGTGTTGGTTTATTTACCACAATTTCTTACCACAATTGCTTATCTCATGCTATAAATTATACGCTGATTCAAAAGTCTTTAGAGGTCAATCACTTTTGTCTGTCAGCACAATTAAGCGAGAATGTATATAGTTCCATCATTATCCGCCTTCTTTCCGGTTCTAACGGTATGTTGCAAAGCAATCCTTTTTTTACCAACAACTAGTCCCAGCCCCAATTCATTGAAATCACAGGTTTCTTGCACTAAACTCCAAAACCACCGGCTTGCACAAGGTATCTTTCATTATTTCGCTGCGTCTGTACACGTGCATACTATAGATGAACTGATCACCATTATATAGCCATACGTTAGAAAATAGTAGATCGCAAAAGATGGACAGCGGATTCAATCACCAAACACATGTCACCAAGATAGTACTAAAGTGTCAAATCGTTCGATAAAACTATAATGGACACGTGTACAGATGCAAAAAAATGATCCAAGGTACCTTGCACATATCCTCACTTCTGACTTGTCTATTCAACGGTCCAGATTTAGTCCGCATGCGTGAAAATGTGACAACACAAGATAACGACGTGTTATCCGATCTGTATGATGGACAGATGTTCACTACTTATATCGAACCAGGATTGGATGAAATACTTTGATGTGAAGGATGCAAAAAAGCTATTATTTCATATTTCATGTGATGGATGATTTGATTCAAATCAAAAGGGAAATTCGTCATGTATATGGAAAATGAAGCGAAAACTGAGAAGCTAGGAAGCATTGGACAGCTGTTTCGACCTGGTTAGGTCTCATCAGCACAGTGCGAATCCATTGACCCAAATGGGGACCTAACGGGTAGGACATAAGCATGCTACCCACTCGGCCACCGAGCAGCAGATCAGACCGTTTATCATTTTCCATTTACACCACATAGAACAACTCATCTTTGCGAGCTTATTGTAGGCCACAGACCTCGCTCATCTCAGTGCTAGCCTCCGGGGTTATGACTCGGTTGGAAACAATCACGAGCTGACTACTTGTTTCCTATAAGTAATGGAGGATTTGATTCAAATTCAAAGGGGAAATTCGTCATGTATATGGCAAATGTAGCGTGAACTGAGAAGTTAGGAAGCACTGGACAGCTGTTTCGACCTGCCTGGGTCTCATCAGTAGTGCGAATCCATCGGCTCAACTACTATTTCATAGCCAATCAATTCCTCCTCCGATGCCCTGTTGCGCACCTGAACTGATGATCATACCGAAACTGCGCTGGTGGAAACGAATGTGACAATGCCTGCTCGTTGATAATAGTCATCAGACGTAACTGCTTTGGTGAGAGTGGGGAGGGGGCAGGCTTTGGCTAGCCGCAGCCTCCGGCTGATATTCCTCAAGAAAATCAGTCGCACCGGGGTGGGTAAACCAGACAGTATATCATTCTCGAGCAAACCAAGGATCTACTACCGTGGTGATTGGTTTGACCCAAAGTACACGGATCCGGAGAATTGTTAAATTTAACAATAAACCCGGTACTATTTATTGGTCGTTTGTTCGATTTTTCATATAAAAGGTAATCAACTGTCCGCCAGACATATTGAAAATCATCAGGATATTGCATGCAGAGTGAACAGGTAAACTACCATTATTCTGGACAAGAATGCCAAAATACTTAGACAATTGTTTCTCAGCCAATTCCAAGTAAATTCTACATTAAACTCTCTTTGTGTAGTGAACGGGCTCTCGTGGGAAGAAACTTTTCTGATGATCAACCAACAACTTCCTTGTAGATTTACAGACAAGATAGTCTGCGTATTGTTGTCCACGTCTGACTTTTCTCTCTCTAGGAGTTCATTTATGCCGCACGTGTGCAGTGGATTTGTGTTTCAAGTGAATTTGCGTGATCGCTGACGGAGGACATTCTTAACTTCCTACATCTATTAAATAACTGCATCACTTGCCGAAGCTAATAGAGGAATAAATTACAATTCACTCTCTATGTTTATTTGCGTTGCAGCTTCACCGGAACGGGAGAGAAAGGCCGAAAAAGAAGAGGTTGACTGGAGTAGCCTGCCCATTGAAGTATGGGCATCCAGTGGGGAACAATTTGTTCCATTGCATGGTAAGAATACTTCCTCCCCGCGAACTGCCTTCTAGAATTATGATCGTTGTAGTTCGATGCTTCTGATGAGGTCATTTATCAAGACGTTAAAAATCAAACCTCTCGCCTCAGTGACAAATTCTCATGGCTTCCAGAGTTGCCAGACTAAATAGTGATTCTCTGAAAATAAGCGTGTGGATCACCTTTCATCGCAGTTGTTTGCGCATTACTACAGTTTGCGTGAATTTATGGTGCTTGTTGTATGAGACTCATCCTTCGAAATAACAAAGCACTGTTCGATTACACTCTACAGCAAACTGATACGATTTTCCTATGGCTCCACCCTACCGTATAACATCGACGGTGAATACGCCTTTTTCTTTCTTTTACTTACACACTTTAGTGTGACGAACAGAAGACTATGGGGTAGAACCCTACAGTCATGAGGACCTGCTGTTCAGTGATGAAAACGGGTAACCCAAGTCCCAGGACTTGGAGTGGCAAATCACATAAGGCCCTACTAGGATAAGCGTGGTATTGACTGAACCGCACTAAAGCAAAGCTGCTTACCACCAAAGTTGGGTGGAGGTTAGAAATGTTTTCGGGAACAGAGATTTGAGGAAACTGATGCAAGCGTTTCCCAAGATTATTTTCAAAAGAAAAGACGATATTGAAATACTTCACGATTTACACCCAGGACGATTTCGCTGCATCTCAACATGGTGCATACTGCAGAAAATACAATGTTTATATAGGGCTTTAGCATGGCAACATAGAAAAGCAAATTGTATTAAAACAGACGCTGGTTATATGGTCCTTTTACTCCTCCCTCTTTTATGTTTTGTTTGTTTCAATCGTGCAATATTGCAATAGCGTCTTTTCTTTTAAAAATGTTTTCTCAAAAATACATACCATTTATTTACGTAAACACAACTAAGGTGAGCGAACATCACATGTGAGTGTATCATCCGCGGGATTTTAATAAATTCGTAACCGCGGCCTATTTCAATTGCGATTGCTTGTCGGATAAGAATTATTAGCATCAACAGCTCCACTCGGGGCGTGGGTCTACAAGCGTGTGGATAGTATGCATGCCTGGTTTTATTTTTCCCCAGTCGTGTACGAGGACGTGGAAAGAGTAAGGGACCGAGCGGAATTCGTGAGACGATCCTCGAGGACCAACGCGGAAACAAGTGAACTGACAGATCAGCAAACTGAAGTGAGTTGTTCGAGTGCAAATTGTTGTTTTCATCCTCAATACATTTTCTGTTGATTTCTATATTTTCATTCTGATTTTATCTCAACAACTGCCACATGCAGCCATTCTTCATCCCGAGTTTGGATATTCACTGATCAGTTTCAGATATGAGTGAAACCTAAAGACGACTGTTGTCTGAGTAAACAGGATACCTTTAGATTTTTCATTAAATTGAGTTGCAACCGTGTGTTGTGTTCAAATTCGTACAAACCCAACGTGTCCACTTTTTCGAACATATTTTGGGAGTTTGCTTGACTACAACTTTTTTCACTTAAAATGTATCGCGCATTTGAAATTGGAATAAAACAATCTGAAGCAGCTATGGTAGTACACTCAACTGTCTAACACAAATGATTTTAGAAGTTTCTGTTTTGCTCATACACCTTTTGGTTCGATATCCACCCCCACCCCAAGGAAATTGATACCGAATTCCACCCTATTCTCACATTGATCCAGACCACCATTCCGGACGATTCCAGAAGCACCAGTCCACAATCCATTCGACGAAAACTGTACAGCGCTAATTCAAGCAAACGGAGCCTGTATCAAAATCCCACACTGGTCAGTGATAAACAGTAATGCCACCCATGTTTGATTAGGAACATACCCAGTCTAGTCTGTGTAAATTTCACTATGATATGAATTTGTGATGACCGTCAATTAGACGACCTGTGCGCGATATACATTTATCCACACAAACGTACTAGATTGAATGTACAACGAATAAAAACTATTTGGTCCCATTTTTTGATGCAGTTTTTTTAATCATGATCAGATTTCAGTTTTCGCA